AGCGAATAAATTTATTTAACTAACGTTTGAAAGAGGCCACAATGTTCATCATCAGGGAGTCGTGAGAAACCCACCCTGGCTCCAGATACTGATTTTTATTTTCAGAACACGGAAAAACTTCCTGAACTTTAACGATGACCCTTTTTAAGTCACAGGCGCATGTTTAGCGCTCATGGAGTCCGGAACCGAGTCATCGTTTGTAATCAGCAACTTCAATGTTGACTCTGAAGCTACCTCAGACGTTAATGCTAACCTCGCCGCAAACTGGAGAACAGTTAAAAACAGCCCCTACATGGTCACTGGTAACTTATGTATTACGATACATTATTGTGTACTACGATATCGCCGCTGATATCAGTCAAGTATCTTAATACTATTGGTCTTGTTCTTACTGCTGTAGTCTTCCTAACGTTTTCCATCAGCTGCGTATAAGTCCAATTTAGTTTAAGTGCTGACCGTTGTTTACTTCGGCTAGCTAAGTTAATCGTTGCCAATTCAAGTGCCTTCTGTAGTGTATAAAATCAGGAAGACGACATGGGCCAGCTTTAGTCGTATTATGACATCATCGCTCGACAGTGAGCCACCCACGTTATCGAAGAAAGAATTGTTCGATCCCCCCCCCTCCCCACCATGATTTACGGCGCCAAATTTGGTGTGCCACTAAAACTGAGGAGAACAAGTCGAAGATCACATAAAGCGATGAAGTAAGGAATGCAGAAGGTTCCCCTTTCAAACGCTCAAATTCTACAGAGGACTGGATTAACAGATGTGACTTCTGCCCATGCGACGCCAAGCAAGGATGGGCCGGTGATGTGGCATGCCTGAGTGACAGCAGGTGGATGTCAAAAATAACAAACTCAGATTCGCTGGAAACAAAGGTCAACTCCGTAGTCGAAGAACAGACTGGGAAGATCCAACGGTCAAATTAAATGGCCAGCGGTTGAGGCAGAAAGCGTATAATATAGAATGCTAAATGAGCGTTGACTTGTGTTCATAGAACACCCATAATGAGGGCAAGTCGGATAATAAATGTAATATGTAACGCTGAAAGGTTCATTCATACGTAGGGGTCTCAGAGCGGACCGTCACTATGCAAAAAAGTAAAAACATAATTTTTTACATAAATCGATGTCATTAATTCGATCAGCCTGTGTTCTTGAAAGAGTGCAAAGTCACACCACTAAGCATGACTGGATTTGCTGCGAATGACGTGCAGTCTTGACAGAAACGTCCTATTTCTTTTACATTTGACCTGATTCTCAGGCTCAGGAACAACGGTATGAAAGGACAAATAATTGGAGATTGCAGAGGTAAGTTTTTGCAAGCTGTTTCCTTGAGATTAACAATGCGCTCCTTGTAGCCGCGTGCTCATCATCCATGTTGTACCATCATTTTTCTGCGCTCACTCGATAATATGGTACTATCGCAATGGCCTGATTTAAGTCCGTTTGCACCGACGTGGCGGCGCCGCCGTACTGTCCTCGGTCCGCTATTTAAATCTCTAGATACTTCCTGCCTTTAGCAATTGAAATCCAACGGTTCTTGTTCGCAGCAAATTCTAAACGTTGTAGCAAGTATTGCCAACACGAGAACATTTAAGAACCCTTCACAACGCTAAATTCACAAAGACACAAAGCGATTCCATGTTTCGTCAATCTTTGAACAGCCTGAATCTGAATGACAGGTTGATGATAGGTGAATGAACCTCAGAATAAAATGATGGAAGGAGGGGGGTAGCATATCATTAAATTTCCATTTTCCCTGATATCACCTACTACTACGTTCTTAATGGCGTAAAATTGGTAAAAAATCTCCTTGCCTAGGTATGACCTGTCTCACCTAATTTCATTCGCTAGGGTACGTCGCAGCGAGGCTGCCTTTTTTCTGACATTGGCGCACTGTACTCAACCTCAACCTCCGTTGGGTCAGGAGCACATGTATCGTTCGAACCAACCCTTTGATATTGTTTCGCATCCAATCACTACAGATGCTCAAATACCATTGGGTCCTGAGAGGCATAAATCTTTCCCTAAGTTCCTAGAAGCATGGCGATGGAGCATGCCTTTTCGCAAAACGCACACTTGTGCGAATGTGCGGCGATGTTAGTGCAAACAAATCACAATTGGCTGTACAACTTTTTAGATCTCGTAACCAACACATCATTCGGCTGGAGCACACCTCCCCTTTGCTTTACGTCGTCTGGGGGGGGGCAATTAAGCAAGCCGTTGTTTATGGCATTCAAGCATTTTTGAGTAGAGCTAAGCAAGAACACGTTAGAAAACCAACTACGTTTGCCTCTGTTCGTAGTCAAATGAACAGACAAATTACATCCCCTATGTTCGGGGTAACCATTCAACTAAACCGGTAATCATAACATTTCAAATTATGATACCGCATTCACTCGAAGTAGGCACACCACTCCATTGCTTCTATCCCTCGATCAGGCTGCAAAGAAGTTTAAGTGAGACTGGCGCTGCACAACTGATCCGGAGGTTTCAAGATTCAATCGAGAGATTCTTGAATTGCAGTAAGTCACCTTTATCCAGCACCTTGGTTCCATCCTGGGCGAAAATTCATGATTGCAAAACGGAAGTTTAGAAATGTCTACGAATGACTAAGCTCGTAAAAGCAAAACCGACTAACTGAAACTTCGATATGATGAGACTTATCTTAAAACTGATCTCCTAGATTGCAAGATAGACACCGACGTATGTCACCAACGTAGCGAAAAGCCACAGGTTGAAACATGCATTTTACAGGCAATTTGGTAGGGCGCTTTGATGCTCGCAAATACTACCCGTCAGTTTCAGTATTAGAAATGGTCACCACATTTTTAATGATTTATTAATAAATATTCCAAAATTAATTTCACTGCCCCTTTAGAAGCGAATAAATTTTAATTTTAATATTTTAAAATCATCGAGTTCCAAGGGCGAGGGGTGAATATATTTTCAGTTTCAGACGGTCTGCATAAAAATTACGCGTAACAAACGAAAATTATTTCAGAAGTTTATCATCGCCTCGAGCAAAAAAAAGCATTTGTAATATTTTAGGGCTGAAAAGTCTGGTTCTTGAACGCTCGCCATTTCTCAACGACGAATTTCATTAAAACCAATTAGCGTTTCTTGAAAGGGAATAAGGCATCTCTGTTCAAAGCATAAAAGAGAAAATTGCGATATGATAATACCATTATGAAATAGAACGATAATTGTGTGAAACCATACAGTACTGTGCATATTATCGCCGGAATCGAGACCGAGTGGAAGATTAAAAAAATTATCAACGGCAAGACATCAGTGAAAGGCATGAACGAACGATGTCATACACTGAACGAACGTTAACGCCATTCATGCCACAAGAAATTCATATGATAGAAAGAGAACCGACTATAGGCGGTTACCTTAAGTAAATGTGATAACGTTGTGGCGGAGCTATGCACCGCCACCATAAATTGGTCGAGAGTAAGATAAAAATCTGAACGTTTATTATGAACCGGGATATGACAACCGAAAGTGCTGCGAACTTTCAAACCTGCTTCTACTTCGAACCTTTATGTTTCGCTTCTCATGCATATTTCATAACTTATTAATAAACACTCAACTCTTCCAAAAACTACTTCGCCATGTACTACAACGCTCGTTGCTCGTAATTGCTTAGGGCGTATTTGTGCAAGCCACAGTTCCATGGAACTGCATGCTAGCTGTATCTCTGAAGATGCAGGAATTTCCTTCGAATTCAGCTGTCTGATTTCGGTTTCGTTTGTCTGTCTGTCTGTAATATAGTTTGCAATTTTCAGCTGTCAAAGCCCACCGTTTCTTGCAGAGGGGCAACTATAGTAAGATTATTGATGCCCGTACCGCCGAGTAACTGGTTTTCGTCATGGAGTATCTGATGGTTGAGATTCTCGAACATTCTCTCAGGTCGAGGTGCAGCTTCATCAAAGTTATTACACTCCCAAATGCATAAGCTGAATGGTCAGCATGCCAAGGAACGAAAACTTCAGTTTTCTGTATAATCGAGCCATCTGGTCCGCGATCTGCTTCTCAGCCCATTTCGCTGTGGCTTTGCTAAGAATCTCGTCTGTATCAAAAATCTATCAGAATCACCGCTATTGTGTCATCTCGCCCATCAGAGGAATCTACGGTATGCCAATCTTGAGAACAGCCTACGGTCTCCTCACACAAACAGTCTTTGAAAAAACTCATTTCAGCCGCTTGTGTCTCAGACTGCAGTCTTTCGTCAATATCCAGCACTCATGACCAGAAAGAGGAATGCCGCAAACACGTATTTACGATGGTATATATAAAGTGAGGCCGAAGTCTGTGAGGACTGAGCAAAAATGTAAAACAAGACATAATTGTTCCACACGAATAATATGACGGTGGGTAATAACAATCTAATTGAGCCACGAGATTTGTTTGCTTTATTGCTGTAAAGACAAGGCTGCCGATTCGAAGTGCAAAATCAGAGGAACAAAGCAAACACGATCGGGATAAAACTGACTTGAACTACAATACATTGGAATGATTACCGTCTTAAAATTTTGCCTCAAATTATAGTCAGCCAAAGAAATGGCAAACAGAAGATATTAGAAAGAGGATCAAGAGCTAGCAAATTAAGCAACAGCTTACCTTGACTCAGGAGCAACTGAACTCGTCTCGACAATCACCGCTAATCCGTTGCTTTTTACACGAGGCCAAGTTTTTGCAGCTTCGCGTTCAACGCAGTGCGGACTACGCGCCAGAGCAGCAGCTGTGACTACCTCTCATGTGATGCTCAGGTTGCAATGATGACAACTTCGGCAGTTGTGACTTGGCGCGCCCGGCAGTCGGCCAGTGCGCCCCGAATTCTCGTTCGAGTGCAATGCCTAATCAATTAACGTGGATACGAATCTGCTGCGATTGTATCTGCCGTCCGTCGTCGACCAATGGCCGACTGTCCTCCTGACGCCCCACTCTCTGCCTGAACATATGTACGGTTTTACGACCTTCGCGCTCCGGATGCCGTTGACGACTGATCGACGTCGAAACGACAACCAGCTTCCGCAAAAAATTTCCTTGCTACCTCCGGTTTACGCTGGCGTGTGGACTGGTGGAAAAGCCGTTAGAAACTCTTCCCTCGGTGGCCCGGCGTTTTGTAACTGCATCCGTTTCAAAAATTTGACTACTGGGACACTGTAGAACATTACTGCTCAATGATGCAAGTTTCACTCACCCTACCCTACTTTTGGAGTAAGCCAGTGTAGATCGAAACACCCTCTAGTCGTTTGACCTCATACA